GCCCAAGGCCGAACAGGTAAAGGCGGCACTTGGCCATAGCCCAGGCGACTGCCAGCATCTCTAGTTCGATGGTGGCGTATCTGGTCTCCGTGTCCGTCAAAAACCTGGAGCCACACTGAACTAAGCGCAGTCTACCCTGGCCGTGATCTTGAAGGAGGGCATATCCGAGGCCGTATAGACGGGAGGCGTCGGTCTGGAGGACCACTGGTAAGGACGGGTCGAAGGGTGCCAAGGCTGGTGGTGACAGCAACGCCTTCTTAACATTCCTGAACGCTAGGTCGTGGTCAGGAGTCCAGAGGAAAGAGCGCTTGGGGCTCATGAGGGGGCGTAGAGGTTGGGCTGATGTGGCGATTTTAGGGGAGAAGTCGGCCAGCTGATTTGCCAGGCCCATAAATGAGCGAAGGTCGGTCAGGTTCGCTGGAGTAGGGAAGTCCCTGATGGCCTTGACCTTCTCATCATCAGCCGAGATCCCCTCTGGCGAGATGTAGTAGCCACAGTAGTTACCTCGGGAGGCGGCGACCACAAATTTATCTTTGTTCAGGGTGATACCATGAGCACGGCATCTTGTGAGCATCAGATGAACTCGGTTCAAGTGGGCCGGGAGATCATCGTCGAAGAGCAGGATGTCATCTACGACCTTCACGCAGTTGGTGACACCCTGCAGAGCCATATCCCCACGGAGGCAGTACGCATCCCCCGTTGCTGCGAAGCCCATGGGTCCGCGGCAGTGTTGGAAGCGGCCGTGGGGCGTGATGAATGTAGTGAGGTGGCGATCTTCTTCCGCCAGGTCGACTTGCCAGTACCCATGTAGTGCATCCGCCGTGGTAAAGAACTTTGCAGACGGGGTGACGCTGCGGACTGCTTGGATGGGCGTAGGCGATGGATGGGCGGGACGGGAGACCTGCGAGTTGAGATGGGTGAGGTCCACTGTGATGCGAACACCTACAGGCTTGAGTGCCAAGACCATAGGGTGGCACCACTCGGAGGGCTCCTCACCGGCGTGTCTGATGATCCCCTGCTGCACCAGAGAATCGAGCTCCGCCTTCACCTTGTCCCGTATGGCAAAGGGGATAGGCCTGGGTGTGTGGATGGCGAAAGGCGTCGCGCCAGGCTTGAGGTGGATTCTCATCGGGGGGCCTGTCATCTTCTTGAGCGGCGTCTTCTGGAGGTCGGACTTGGAGACAAGGACGTCGCTGAACTGACGAAAAAAGAACTCCCGGGCGGCAGCAGGTGTGGTCATGGCTGAAACAGGTATCTCTGCACACCTGTTGAGGTGTGTCACGGCGAGGATGGGCTTTGGGAACTCGGATGAGACGATGGCCAAGTCCTGACAATGGCCACATGACAAGAGAGGGGTTTGGATGCCCTCATGGACGTGGACTGTGGCAAGGCAAGACTTGGGACCGAGCTGTAGTGTTGCCTTGAAGCAACCCAAAGGTGGAGACATCGGGGACCCGTCCGCTGTGAGCACGTCGTTCATGGCTGTGGGTGACAGGCTACTCCTGGGAATGTTGAGGGCGTCCAGGTGTGTTGGTCCAATCACCGTGATGTCCGCGCCCGTGTCAGGTATCATCAGGAGGTTGGAAGAGTTGGTACCGTAGGACAGACGAACATTGACGGGCTTGGGGGACCTGTCGCTCGAGGCATCATCCACGCGTCGGCATCCTTTGTTGTTCTTGGGAGACAGTGGTGTGGACGTTCTGTAGGGCTGTGAAGAGACGTTTTGACCTGGAGATGGAGGCTTCTTGGTGGACCTGCAACACTTGGCGAAGTGTCCTTGCTTGTTGCAAGCGTTGCATGAGACCTTGTTGGCAGGACATCGAGTTGTGCGGGGCCAATGGCCTTGAAACCCGCAGTTTCGACATGTACTATCAGCCGCAGGGCACTTTCCTGGACCGTGCTGGCGCTGACAGCTTCTGCAGGATTCGGGGGAAAAAACTGGTGACTGTGACGGGGGCTGTGGAGAGGATGCCGTCTGCATCTGGCGTTGATTCCTCTTGTAGGTGGAGACGGCGTGAACTTGAGATGGCGATGAGTGTATAGCTGAGGCAACCTCTCTTGTGGCCTCATACGACCTGCAACAGGTGACGAAGTCGGTGAGGGAAGAGGCGGCGTCGAGGGTGAGGAGTTTCTGAAGCAGGTCCTCGTCACGTACACCCATCAGCAAGATCATCTTGAGCTGGATCTCAGCACAGGTTACAGGATCGCCTGTACATAGGTCCACCTCGGCTGCTAGGTCCTTAAGTCGTGCGTAGAAGTCTGAGAATGATTCCCCAGAAGCTTGTTTGCAGGATAGCAGTTCCCTACGACGCAAAGCTTCATTGCGGAGGCCACGGAAATGACTCTGCAAGGCGTTTAAAACCTCTGTCACTGACATGGAGGAGTCAGGGGGAATGGCTAGCGTGTGCTCTAGGAGGCGTTGAACATCGAGGGAAATGCACGATCTTAATTGGATGAGTTGTTTATGAGGGGGCATTCGGTTGAGGTCAGACATAACAGCAAAGTCTTCGAAACGACGTCGCCATTGACTGTATACTTGATATGTTGCTTCAGATTGAAGAGGTGGGGGGCTGGGAACTGAAGACTTGCTGTGCAGGGGTGTACTCGAGACGGCAGGTAATGGAGGAGGTACGGAGAGGTCGACGAGAGTTGAGACTGGAGCAGGTGGTTGAGAAGGCACTGAGGTATACCCAAGGGGGATAGGTGACGTGTGAGGAGGCGTTGTCTGAAGGATAGATGAAGAGGCTGAAGCTGGCGAATTGGTTGTGGCAGCTGGTGAAGTCGTCCTCGTTGCCAGCAATTCCAATAGTTCCAGGAATTTGCGGTTATCAGCTTGGTGTTGTTGTTGAAGTTGAAGACGGTAAGCTGATTCCTCTGACTGTCTTGACAATTCCTCTTGATGTCGTTTTTCCTCCTCTAATTGACGTCTTTGGGCTTCCTTCTCTTGGGAAACTTGTAGGAAGTGGATTAACTGACGTATATCCTGGCTCCCATCCTTTGAATTTGGCGCGCCCGGCGTGTGAGGCGTGAGGGGGAGTGGGAGGGTCTGTGAGGCGTCGTCTTCCTCATAATCCTCATATAAATTTCCCAGCAAATCGTCGTGATCAGACATCTCGTGTCTGGTATGGTTGCGATGGGAAAGACAAGGAGAATAAGGTGAAGTGCTATGTTTTCGTCAATGTACTTGCCTAAGTGCAGGAACTGGCGGGCAAGTAAAAGAGTATTGACTGTAATATTTGTGAAGTGAGAGGAGGCGGCTGGCGGCGGTGTATTCCTCCGGGCGAGATGGCGGTGCTGGCTCAGTCGAAGGGGGACGCAGGCAGTGGCCTGCGGGCCGGCGCAGATGGAGGATGTATGCCGGAAGTGCTGTCTTGGAAACTGGGCTGAAGGCGTTTCTGCTACCTGTAGGGCCGCAGAAACATAGCAAAGAGACATGAAAGGCACTGCACTTCATTTAGGGCACTTCACAAGGTCACAAAGCACTTTAAATCCAGGGGCACTGTGGAGTATATCTTCTGGGCGGGAAACAGAGGAGGCCGGGAAACAGACGAGGCTGGCTCTTGCAACTTGTCAACTGTCGTGTTGGAGCTACTCAACTGCGCCATGTGGTGGGATGAAATCCTAGACAAGGTTCTTCAAACTCCAATAGCACGAGCAGTAGATATATTCAATAAGTGGTACAAGACTTGGCAGGATAACCAACCGGTATAGGAACAGGAGCCAGCACAAGGAACTCCACGTCGTAGGCAGGCCGAAGCCGATCTGAGGGATGTTAGCTAGCTAGGCAAGGAGAGTTGCTAGACATTACTAGGACAATAAATGAGGTCTTCTAATTACTCGACTAGCGCGGTACAGACATAGTACATCGGGACATAGTAAGTGGACATAGGCATTAGACATAAGCATAGATATCAGACATGCTATAATAATATGTAGTAATACAGACATGTGAATAAATGGTACAATGAATGGTAACAGAGTCTTGGCGTCAGGCGTGTTCACATATCTTGGTATTTACATATCTATACAGTCAACACCACACACCTCATAACATACCTGGTCAACACCACACACCTCATAACACACCTGGTCAACACCACACACCTCATAACACACCTGGTCAACCCCCACACACCTCATAACACACCTGGTCAACACCACACACCTTACAACACACCTGGTCAACCCCTACACACCTCATAAGACAACTGGTCAACACCACACACCTTATAGCACACCTGGTCAACACCACACACCTTATAACACACCTGGTCAACCCCCACACACCTCATAAGACACCTGGTCAACACCACACACCTTATAGCACACCTGGTCAACACCACACACCTCATAACACACCTGGTCAACACCACATACCTCATAACACACCTGGTCAACACCACACACCTTATAACACACCTGGTCGGTCATCATACAATTCATGCAAGGAGACGTAAAAGAGTTTGTGTGGCAAATATTGTAATGATTTTCGGGGTAATGGTCAGGATGAGAGAGAAAGGAGGAGAGCGTGAGAAAGAGAGAGACAGGTAAAGTGAGAAAGTGAAAAGAAGAGTAAAAGAGAAGGAGAGAAAGTGGAAAATTGTAAGAGAAAGTGGAAAATTGTAAGAGAAAAAGGAAGAATGTGAGAGAGAGGTAATGTGAGTAAGAATGGAAGAGTTTGGGAGAGATTAAAAGAAAGAAAAAGCAAGAGTGAAAAAAATAAATAAGAAAGAGATAAAGGAAGAGAGCGTGAGAAAGAAAGATGGAGGAAAGTTACATTAATGTATTGATCTACGACAAAATCCACAAATAAAAACAAGAAAATATTATTCCAATACTCGATACGGGGGGGAACCATCAATTACTTTATCATGATCCACTTCACCAGTTTATACCCGACCAATCCTTGACCAGGGAGTTGGGTGGGCAGGCACACCGTAGGTCAGAGATTAGGTACATGATAGTATAGTGATAAGGACGGACACACGACTGAAGGGCACAGGTAGACGACACAAGCAGAGATCCACAGTACAGTAGTTGTTTGCTGTGACGTCGCCATCAACATGAAGTTCCTCTTGCTGGTGTCATTGGCGGCCGTCGCTTCCTCAGGTACAAAACAAAAAATTAATAAATCTCTGATCACCTGAAGATTAATCACCCTAACCTAACGCTAGCCTAATGATAATCTAACCTAATTTACTTAACCTAGCGTTTACCTAATTTAATTTAACCTAACCTAACGTTTATCTAACTTAATTTAACCTAAGCTAACGCTAAACTAACTTAATTTAACCTAACCTAACGTTTATCTAACTTAATTTAACCTAAGCTAACGCTAAACTAACTTAATTTAACCTAACCTAACGTTTATCTAACTTAATTTAACCTAAGCTAACACTAAACTAACTTAATTTAACCTAACCTAACATAACCTGAACTAAAATGACCTGACCTGACCCTGTGTGTGTGGGTGCTACATGGTAAGGTACGGGTCAGACGGAGTACTTAAGATAGTAAATAATAATAGTTTATAAGTGCACATCATCACACCGTTCACCCTTAAAACTCAAAATCCTTTTATATATCTTCCTTCTTTCTTTTCTATCATTTCATTCATCTAATAGAAGAACGAAGATCCAGTCCTGACTTTTTCTTCATTCTCAATCATCCTTAATTGAGAAAATGTACCGAAAAAGACCGACTTGCAACAGCTCACCAATCACCGAAGGTCTAGCCATAAACTCCCATGAGTTCAGCGGACGTATCACATAAAGCTACGTCATAAGTCTCTTGATACAGTTGACCAGTTGCAAAGAGCCACGCCATAAAATCTTATGACAGTCGACCAATCAGATTCTACGGATGACCAAGTAGAGAGAGAATTGTGGTCCGTTTAACGAGTTTCGGCTTGTTTTGACATTTTGTTAACAACAGATTTTTGGTCAAAACACACACACACACACACACACACACACACACACACACACACACACACACACACACACATACACACACACACACACACACACACACACACACACACACTAAAAGACAAATGTTATGGACCAATTTTCTGTACTTAAAATTTTCTTCGTAATAAAATAATAATAATAATAATAATAATAATAATAATAATAATAATAATAATAATAATAGTGTGGCGGTCGAAGGGAGGATAGGACTAACAAGCAGTACCTTGAGCAGCACTGTAAGGACACTGTTATACACTGTCTTGTTACAGAGTTAATGCAGTACAGGAGGAGTGTATCACTGAATCAAGGAGTTGCATCACCTAATCACTTCTAATCATCGACCTGTATAATAACACCATAGCCACTCATGACACCACCCACCCAAGGTCATCCATATCACCACCCAGAGCCGCCCATTTCACCACACCAAAGCCATCCACTTCACTACCTACAGCCACCCATCTCATCGCCCACAGCCACACCACCTCACCACCCATCTTACTACCGACAGTCACTCACTTCACCACCCACAATCTCCCATTATATCATCCACAGCCACCCATTCCACCACCCCACAGCCATCCACCTCACCACCACCCACCTTACCACCCACTTCACCACTCACAGCCACCTATCTCACTACTCACAGCCACCCACTTCACCACCCCACAACCACCCATCTCACCACCCCACAGCCACCCACCTGTTATCACTACTGTAACCTTGTACTTTTAATAAACTGATCCAAAGTGAGAACAGAACAGTAAGTCAAGAGATGAGACCTTGGCGCATATTAAATCCGTTTACCTGTTTGTTTCTCTAAGCTATCTATCTATTTACTTATCTATCCACCTATTACATATCTATCCACCTATTCGTCTATTAGATATTTAACAATGTCTATATTCGTTCATTGTTTTTTTATTTATCTATTTATGTTTCTATCTTTCTATATATCTATCCATCATTCTGTTTATCGATCATCAATCTATTTATCTGTCCGTCGTTCTAGTTATTTATCTATTTATTTATATCTATCTATCAATCACTAGGCATCTCTCTTGCTATAGTAAACAATGGTAAATTCTTGTACTGTTGGTGAGTCAAGTAGGACCACTCAAAGCGTCGACTTCTTTGATATCGTAACCTGTCTGTACGTCACTCATGAGTCTATCTTCAATCAATCAACTTTGACAATCATAAAACATTTTTTTTTATTGTTATTGATATATTTAAGTTATTTTCACTATATAGAAATGATTGCGTATGTGAAGTATGTTTATGTCTATAGTATACGCAGATATATATATTCATACAGGGTGTTTCAGAAAAAAATATATTCACCGTGTTATAGATTTTTTTTGTGTAGATGGGGTGAATATATGTTTCAATAGCAACATTGTCCTTACTTGTTGATGGGTAAATTTGCATTGTCACACCGTTCTCTGTTAGAAAGTCAAGAATATATTTTTCTAGTGTATTTGTGTGTGTTTAGACCAAATATGACCTTCATTTCTGGCGAAAATTAGCGGGGTTTTTATCGAATGTTTTTCGTTGGACTTTTTCCGAAAAAAATCATGGCAAAATACAGCAAAAAACACTAGAAAAACAAAAACCTAACCTAACCTAACCTAACCTAACCTAACCTAACCTAACCTAACCTAACTGACTCTCACCATATGATGGAATCACCTATTTCTTACCTTATTGGCCTGGTTCTTGTTCGTCGTTGGATTCTGAGACTCTTACACAACGCCACATATGTTGGTCTTTGTGATATTTACATTCAGTCTTGCTCTTAGTACACTTTACTGAGGTTGGAAGAACACCATGCAATCGAAATTTTTTTATAGTTTCTTCGTGTTTTTCTCCCAAACTCGCAATCAGCTCCATATAATTTAAATGACACTCATCGCAGACTTCCATGGTCGGAACTGAATTTGAATTTCGAAATATGAGAGACCCAAAACAAAATTCGAATTTGATTGGGCCAAATGTACCGCGAATTAAACCCCATATCATTTTAATTGGTTGCAAAAACAAAACCGTTTTTGATTGGCCGGGTGACGTGTACGGAAACGCATGAGCGTGATGATTTATGAAGGAGACGCAGGAAACACAGTGTTGGAAGTGAGGCAGGCGATAATGGAGGAAGATTAATGGAAGAAAATAGAGAAAATTTTGGATATGCTATCTCCGTTATAATACATTTCCGCCGGTAATGTAATAGATGAAAATTGTCTTATAATTAGACGTCTTATTCGAATATAATAATAGATTAGTGGTAGGAATGAACGGTGTGTAAACTCAATAATGCCTGTTGATGTGTGAGGTCTCCCACAACTGAGGACAATGTTGCTGTTGTAATACAAATATTCACGCGATCTCTATGGAAATCTGTAAGGAAGAGCGACTATTTTTTAACACACCCTGTATATTACTTACAATAAACTACCTAACAGTTTTTCAATGTAGGAACGATTAAATTTATGTGGAAATAGATAATTATGATTAGAATTTTGACACTTTAATCTTCTGTAGCCATAACACTCGCACCAAGCATCGGTGTGAGTGGTACCTGAGAGGTCTATACCCGAGACTCACGCAGAAAGGCCCAACTTTACTTTTAGGTGTGTCATATAAACAGTTGGAGGGAGAAAGGATGTTTCCTGTTGGAGGGAAAATGAAGTGATGAAGTTAGGATGTTTATAGTTGGAGGGAGGAAGCTTACAGTGTTGGAGGCAAGAATCTCATAAAGTATTGAAGTAACTGAGTTTGCAAAGTGTTGGAGGAAGGAAGTGCACTAAGTGGTATAGACGTGTGGGTCGTCAGTTATCGAGGGAGCGCCGCTGGACGAGGAGTTTGGCTACGTCGACGTGCGTCCCGGGGCCCACATGTTCTGGGTGATGTACCACGTGGACCAGGAGGACGACTACACCAACTACCCGCTCATCATGTGGCTCCAAGGAGGACCTGGCTCCTCGGGGGTCGGTTTTGGTAACTTCGAGGAGATGGGACCCAAAGATCTTAACGGCAACAACAGGAAATACGCCTGGGTGAGTATTTAAACCCATATTTGTTGCGTCAAACTCATCTTACGCAGCTGATGATGGACATTAGTATGCAATTCCATTTTACTTCCAGATGAAGGGAAAAAGTAGCACATGAGAGCCACGTCACGAAACTTTCCATTATACTCCAGATGTCTATTTTTGAGTTGGTTTTGTGCACATTGTGCCAGACTTTAATCTTACCCTACAGATACGAGTCCTATATTGACAAACGTCTTCTTTACAATTCAACATTTTCTCTTTAGATTCAAAAAGCATTTGTTTCCTCAATCATTTATGTCAGACCCAGAGTAGACGATAACAAATATGAAAATTCTCTTATTTCTATAACACATATTTTATGGGACGATAATCCTCCAGTTCCCGGTACAGTATATCTAAAACTAAGGCCAGTCCGTCATTACCCTAACAGACAAAGTCAGCCAACCTGATGTTCGTGGATAACCCTGTAGGGACGGGATACAGCTACGTGGATTCCTCCAAGGACTTCGCCATTGATAACATGCAGATCGCCGCCGACTTGGTGGCGTTGGTGAAGGAAGTGTTCACCAAGAACCCCGACATGCAGAAAATGCCTTTCTTCGTGTTCGCCGAATCTTATGGCGGCAAGATGACCGTCGACTTTGCTCTCGCTTTGGATGAAGTATGACTAGGAAGACATCAAACCTAATACTGTACTATACAAGAGGTTTCATTGGCCACTGAGACTCATGCGATTATAAATGTTACTTGTATTATTCAAAACGTGTCACTGTCATACAAAGGTTTCCACAGCAGTTGCTTTGAAATGGCCTAATAATTTTATGTTATTAGTCTTCCATTTGACCTGCGTGAACGATATACGAAAACAAAGAAGTAATTATTGTATAAAATTTAATGTATTACTTATCATCTTATTTTCAAAGGCAATCAAGAATGGCGAAGTGGTGAGTGACTTCCGGGGCGTCGCTCTGGGGGACTCCTGGATCAGCCCCATGGACTCTATCAACACCTGGGGCACCTACCTTTACCAGATGGTGAGTTCCCTTACTACTGTAGATGGTGAGTTCCTTTACCACGTGGGGAGTTCCTCGCCCACAGGCTGAGTCCCCCTACCAGACGGTGGGTTCCTCTACCATACAGTGAGTTCATCTACCACATGGTGAGTTCCTCTATCATAAAGTGAGTTCCTCTAGCACCTGGTGAGTTCCTTCACCACATGTTGGCTTCATGGTCTTACTTCACACGGTAGGATTAATTGCCTGTGTTGTAATTGGTGATGTTACTCCAGCGTAGATCACACGCCAGGATGACACTAGTGAGGGAAGTGTTCTGGGTCAAGCTTCCCTCTCTCAGTCTCGTCTTGTGAGTAGATGAACTGTAATTCTACACAGAGGACATAAATAGATAAATCGAGGAAATTTTTGTGATATATAGGTAAATTTTTCTCTATCCTTCTGATGATACGTGTGAAAACGTAACCAGGGTGTTTTAGTGTGAGTTAGAACTATAAAGGTGTGTTCCTCCCAAGCTATATAATAGTTATTCACGTGTACCATCATAGGTGGTCCACAATGTATAGATCACCATGTTAATGTGGTTTCTTGGTATCCGTGTGTGTGATGGAGAACTGGGTTGCTCTACAGGGCTGGGTGAACCGTGAAGGGCTGAATAAGGTGGACGCGGCAGCAGCTAAGGCCCAAACAGCGGTGGATGAAGAGAGATGGACGGACGCGACCAACGAGTGGAGTGCCTCTGAGGGTGTTGTGTCTTCTGTCGCCCATAATGTTAACTTCTACAACGTGTTGGCTAAGGAGGACATCTATCTCATGAAGCCCCAACACAGCCACAGACGCCATGACCTGTCCTTCATGTCTCCCGCCGTCCGTTAGTACCTCATGAGACACACACACAGAGTTATTCCATTATCAAAAACTTGTCTTAAGAGATTACTCAACACATATATTTCTTTCTTTGTCTTGTGAGGTGCATTTGATGTGATAGTAGTCAACTATATCACCCTAACTCCCTTTATCACTCGAGTTTTGCTGTTTACTACTGATAGATGTTCTGTATTTATAAACCTGAAGAGTAATATGCAGGTCCCTCGCCTGTGTCTTGTAAATAAAGATTTTCTTGGTCACCCGACATATATATGAATTGTTGGTGTAAACATGGCTGGTGTTCATTACACATGTTTCTTTAAATCACAGTATAATTAATCATCATTGTTCACTGTGGCAGACTTAATATTTATGTTAAGTATGGCGATATTTCCTTCTTATATATACTGTATACACCTGTGTTTTATCTCAGCACTGTACACTTAATAGGCTTGTAATATTGTACAGGTAAACTATACGAGCGCCACGTAGGCCGCCTGCACCAAAAACTCGGGGACTCCCTCTACGATTTCATGAACGGAGCGCAGAAAGAGCACTGGGTGATCCCCGACAGTGTTGAGTGGGACGGCCAGGGCGGCAACGTTTTCGACCAGCTCAGTGAAGACTTTATGAAGCCTGTCGTTGACTCCGGTAGGTGGGGACGATTACTCTCTCAGTCTTCTGTAGTCATATCAATGCTTGAGGAAGAAAGACATCATGGGACAGTATTTACTATTAGTTATGACGCAAGGACTGGCGATTCTTGGTCATCATTGTTAGATCTGCGGATGAAGGTGAATCAAGAATTTAACTCTTTTTGCCTTAAGTATAATTTGAACTACTAATCACTTATGTAATGTAACTTGTATTATTTCTAACAGCATTAGTAGTAGTTGCAGTAGTATAATTTCTATGTGATTCAAAAGCATCATAATGGATGGAGGGAATATGCGGTAATGTGTGTGTGTCTCCCCACAGTGGTGCGGCTGCTGGCCGAGACAGACCTCATGGTAAACGTCTACACTGGTGACCTCGATCTCATCTGCGACACACCAGGTATAAGTCTACCAGTACCCAGTATTATTACCATCTAAGGTATCGGCTGTAATCTTGCTGTCTCAAGTCCATAGACCACTGTTGATATGTTCTCTCTCTCTCTATCTCTCTCTCTCACGAGTGCATCCCGGTAGGTACATATAGATGGATCGAGAACATGGAGTGGGAGGATAAAGTCAATTTCATGGCAGCCGACACCAAAGCCATTCACATCACTGAGTACTCGAGCCCCGCTGCCCTCCTCCAGAGCTCCAAGAAATTCGCCCTCTACACCATCTTCCGCACGGGTCACATGGTGAGTCTGGGGAGCAGGGTGCATTCTATGGGTCAAATAAAAATTTTTAGGTAGAAAAGTATCATCTTTTGGATGAGAAGTAGTGCCTCTTGAGTAGGAAGTAGAGTCTTTTAGGTAGGAAGTTGCGCATCTTGGGTGGGAAGTAGTACCTCTTGGATAGAACGTAACACCTCTTGGGTAGGAAGTACTTCCTCTTGGGGAGGAAGTACCACCTCTTGAGTAGGAAGTAACACCTCTTGGGAAGGAAATAACATCTCTTTGGTAGGAAGTAACACCTCTTGGGTTGGAAGTAACACCTATTAGGTAGAAAGTACCACCTCTTGAGTAGGAAGTAACACCTCTTGGGTAGGAAGTGACATCTCTTGGGTGGGAAGTAACACTTCTTGGGTAGGAAGTGACATATCTTGGGTGAGACGTAACATCTCTTTGGTAGGAAGTAAGATCTCTTGGGTGGAAAGTACCACCTCTTGGGTAGGAAGTACCACCTCTTGAGTAGGAAGTAGTAGCTCTTGGGTAGAAAGTATCACCACTTGGGTAGGAAGTACCACCTCTTGATTAGGAAGTACCAGCTTTTGGGTAGGAAGTACCACCTCTTGAGTAGGAAGTACCACCTCCTGGGTAGGAATTTCCACTTCTTGGGTAGGAATTACCATCTCTTGGATAGAAAGTAACATCTCTTAGGTGGGTAGTACCACATCTTGAGTAGGATGTATCCACCTCTTTTGTAGGAATTACCACCTCTTGGGTAGCAATTACCACCTCTTGGGTAGGAAGTACCACCTCTTGGGTAGGAAGTACCACCTCTTGGGTAGGAGTTACCACCTCTTGGGTGGGAAGTAACATCTCATGGGTGGGAAGTACCATCTCTTGGGTAGGTAGTACCTTCTCCTGGGTGGGAAGTACCACCTCTTGGGTAGAAAGTAACATCTCTTGGGTAGGAAGTAACATCTCTTGTGTCTGAAGTACCACCTCTTGGGTAGGAAGTAACATCTCTTATGTAGGGAATTACCACCTCTTGGGTGGGAAGTAACATCTCTTGGGTGAGAAGTAACATCTCTTGTGTGGGAAGTAGCATCTCTTGGGTAGGAAGTACCACCTCTTGAGTAGGAAGTACCATCTCTTGCGTAGGAAATACCACCTCTTGGGTGGGAAGTAACATCTCTTGGGTGGGAAGTACCACCTCTTGGGTGGGAAGTAACATCTCTTGGGTAGGAAGTAACATCTCTTGGGTGGGAAGTAACATATCTTGGGTAGGAAGTAACATCACCTTAGGTAGGAAGTATCACCTCTTGAGTAGGAATTACCACCTCTTGGGTGGGAAGTAACATCTCTTGGGTGGGAAGTACCACCTCTTGGGTGGGAAGTAACATCTCTTGGGTAGGAAGTAACATCTCTTGGGTAGGAAGTACCACCTCTTGGGTGGGAAGTAACATCTCTTAGGTAGTAAGTACCACCTCTTGGGTAGGAAGTAACATCTCTTGAGTAGGAAGTGAAATCTTTTAGGTAGGAAGTGCCAACCTCTTGGGTGGGAAGTAACATCTCTTGAGTAGGAAGTACCACCTCTTGGGTGGGAAGTAACATCTCTTAGGTAGTAAGTACCACCTCTTGGGTAGGAAGTAACATCTCTTGAGTAGGAAGTGAAATCTTTTAGGTAGGAAGTGCCAACCTCTTGGGTGGGAAGTAACATCTCTTGAGTAGGAAGTAACATCTCTTGGGTGGGAAGTAACATCACTTGGGTAGGAAGTAACATCTCTTGGGTAGGATGTACCACCTCTTGGGTGGGAAGTAACATCTCTTGAGTAGGAAGTAACATTTTAGGTAGGAAGTAACATCTCTTGAGTAGGAAGTAACACCTCTTGAGTAGGAAGTAACATCTCTTGGGTAGGAAGTAACATCCCTTAGGTAGGAAGTAACATCTCTTGGGTAGGAAATAACATCGCTTAGGTAGGAAGTAACATCGCTTCGGTAGGAAGTAACATCGCTTTGGTAGGAAGTGACATCGCTTCGGTAGGAAGTATCATCTCTTGGGTAGGAAGTAACATCGCTTGGGTAGGAAGTAACATCCCTTATGTAGGACGTACCACCTCTTGGGTGGGAAGTAACATCTCTTGGGTAGTAAGTAACATCCCTTATGAAGGAAGTACCACCTCTTGGGTTGGAAGTAACATCCCTTGTGTAGGAAGTACCACCTCTTGGGTGGGAAGTAACATCTCTTGGGTAGGAAGTAACATCACTTCGGTAGGAAGTAACATCTATTGGGTAGTAAGTAACATCTCTTGGGTGGGAAGTAACAACTCTTAGGTAGGAAGTAACATCTCTTTGGTAGGAAGTATCACCTCTTGAGTAGGAATTACCACCTCTTGGGTAGGAAGTAACATCGCTTCGGTAGGAAGTAACATCGCTTTGGTAGGAAGTGACATCGCTTCGGTAGGAAGTATCATCTCTTGGGTAGGAAGTAACATCGCTTGGGTAGGAAGTAACATCCCTTATGTAGGACGTACCACCTCTTGGGTGGGAAGTAACATCTCTTGGGTAGTAAGTAACATCCCTTATGAAGGAAGTACCACCTCTTGGGTTGGAAGTAACATCCCTTGTGTAGGAAGTAACATCACTTCGGTAGGAAGTAACATCTCTTGGGTAGGAAGTAACATCACTTCGGTAGGAAGTAACATCTATTGGGTAGTAAGTAACATCTCTTGGGTGGGAAGTAACAACTCTTGGGTAGGAATTAACATCTCTTTGGTAGGAAGTATCACCTCTTGAGTAGGAATTACCACCTCTTGGGTGGGAAGTAACATCTCTTGGGTAGGAAGTAACATCACTTCGGTAGGAAGTAACATCTCTTGGGTAGGAAGTACCACCTCTTGGGTGGGAAGTAACATCTCTTGGGTGGGAAGTAACATCTCTTGAGTAGGAAGTAATATCTCTAGGGTGGGAATTAACATCTCTTGGGTAGGAAGAAACATCTCTTGGGTAGGAAGTATCACCTCTTGGGTAGGAATGAACATCTCTTGGGTAGGAAGTATCACCTCTTGGGTGGGAAGTAACATCTCTTGGGTAGGAAGTAACATCTCATTGGTAGGAAGTAACATCCCTTTGGTAGGAAGTAACATCACTTGGGTGGGATGTAACGTCTCTTGGGTGGGATGTAACGTCTCTTGGGTGGGAAGTAACACCTCGCAGTTAGGAAGTAACATTTCTTAGGTAGGAAGTACCACCTCTTGGGTTGGAAGTAATATCTCTTGGGTGGGAAGTAACATCTCTTGGGTAGGACGTAACACCTCGCAGTTAGGAAGTAACATCTCTAAGGTAGGAAGTACCACCTCTTGGGTTGGAAGTAACATCTCTTGGGTGGGAAGTAACATCTCTTGGGTAGGAAGTAACACCTCGCAGTTAGGAAGTAACATCTCTTAGGTAGGAAGTACCACCTCTTGGGTTGGAAGTAACATCTCTTGGGTGGGAAGTAACATCTCTTGAGTGGGAAGTAAGATCTCTTTGTTAGGAAGTAACATCCCTTTGGTAGGAAGTAACATCTCTTGGGTGGGAAGTAACATGTCTTTGGTAGAATGTAATGGGGTAAAGAAGCTCTCTCCCCCCCTGATGTAAGTTTTATTTTCGTTCATTCCGTGTTCGCTTTTGTCTGCACAGTTTCCTCAAGTCTACCTTTCCTGACTGACTTACTAATACACGGGTCCCTCACTAGCTCTAGGCAAGCAATAACCAATTCAGCAGTCAGTCTCCCGACTTGATATGCCATAGTGTAAACATTGCATATAAGTATAATTGATTACACTAGACTCCTAAAGAACTTTTGCACCACCTGTAGACTTTGTGCTCAGTGGAAACTAAATTTCAGTACTTCTGAGGATGAAACAAAGAGTTCTATTATTCTAGTTGTTACCTTCGTTAAATATTTCGGTCATGTCTAAAGATGTGTTTAATGCGTTATCAGGTTATCATCTCCTTGAGTATAACCATATTTAAATTTTTCGTAAACAATGAGTCAATTTCCTGCAGGTACCCATGGACGTTCCTGAGATGGGCCTCAAGTTGGTTGACCTGATCGTCGGGACTCCGACACATACACCAGAAACACCGAAGCAAGAGACAACCAAACAAGAAACACCCAAGCAAGAGGCACCCAAGCAAGAGGCACCCAAGCAAGAGGCACCCAAGCAAGAGGCACCCAAGAAAATGACACCACGTAAACATGTCCCAGTGCCACTGAGTGCGGTAGACCACAACGCTAACAGACGCAGAGCCCAGGTAGTGGCGACAGACCTCAACCCAGCTACACCCACCGGCAAACGCTACGTTAAGATGATCCCAAACAACCCAGGCTTCCGCAGGGGCTAGCTGGACGGGGTTGAACTGTCCAAGGGAAATTCCTCTTCTTAACCTCGCGTAGTTCTCCCAGCGATTCTTACAGAGCTTCTTCTACCTGTTCTTATAAGAGTAATTCTACCTGAGTTTATAGAGTCCTCTTAACTCTTAAGAGGTGTTAAACTCTATCACTAGTACTAGCTCTAGCTACTGTTGCTTAATAAGAATTCTAGAACGTACTCGGCTATCCCTATCCTTTTGGCTAGATTTTTGTGTGATAAACTAGCACCAATCATCTCTTCTAGTACTAGCAATAATTCTCTGAGGTTAATAGCACCTGTAGTAACCTGTAGAACTTCTAATAAGAGGAAGACCTTCTAGTACTAGTTGGTTCTTCTTACTAGCAGCTAATTCACTCTATTAAAAAAGTAATTCGCCTCTTTCTAATAGGAAACCCTATCAATACTTTTCAGCTCTAGTAACTAGCAATAGTATTTAGAACAAAAACCCTTCCTTCTAGTAATAGGAGAAACATACTACATAACCATTGTAACTAGCAACCATGCAATTCTCACGATTTACATTCATCTCTGACCCCTCTCTCCAACCGTTCTCTTCCACACAGCTCTGCCAAAGAATCTTGCCTTCAATTAAGCAAAACGTCAATTGTCACCAATAGAGATATGAGCTATAAATACTCTTAAGTTTCATCCCGATAAAGATTCCACATGGTGGTTGTGGAGTACTGTACTTACTCGATCAGAACAAACATTGTGACGCTGTTGTGTTTAAATTATCCTCTCTCTCAACCTCTGCCTCCACTCACCAACTTTCCTTCCCCTAACCTTCTCATCCTTCCTCTCCCCAGCAATAATACGTAACTGAACGAAGAT